CCATTGCTGAGCATTCTGCAGCTGTGTTGAAGTCACTCATTTATGTGGTTTGGGCTAGTTTCTGAGAAACACGCAGAACTAGAGAGCAGAAGAATCCATCAATGTTAAATTTGAACAAAGAAAATGATGATCTTTTTGGACTTGTTGCCTTCCATAGTGACAATATAGATATAAAAACAAAGTATAGAAATGATACAGATATAGGGTAGTTACAGAGAGCCGTAATTTTCAGGGAAGGAGCATGGGGGTGGGGGGAAGCCCCAGACTCAGTAATGTCTATTCCTTGGGGTTTTGTCTAATTAATTTCCTTTATGTGTTATTTCTGTGGTTGTATTTTGTATTTTAGTTTTAAAAATATATATCAAAGACTTCTGAAAACAGAACATTTCCCTCATTTGAGATAAATTTTTTATACTTTTCAAAAAATAAGGGTATGTTTGGTCATCTTAGTAGTATTTGGAAATGCATATTTTGTTTGACATTATTTGTGAATTAGATTTTTGCTCCTCAGAATAAGTGTAGAAATGCTTCCATATGTTTGAAGTTGGTTTCATCATTTGGCTAGGAGGGAAAAAGGAAGAACGTAGTTTATAGCAATTTTCATGTGAATACATATTTAATAATGGCATTTCCTCAAAGTTAGCTAAAACAGCTTTTCTATTGCTTCAATATACTACTAAAGATAATAATATCGTTTGTTTCTAAATATTACATTGTAATTGAAATATTCTTTAAATATAATGAAACTAAACCATATTTTACTATTTTGATTTCTTATACAAAATATGATCTTAAGTGAGGATCTGACTTTAATTATTTCCCCCAAATAGCCACAAATCACATAGCATCATTAAAAAAATGCTTCAGTTTTTCATATACTAAAATTCTTTTCCATGTAATACATTCGTATGTATAACTTAAAAAAATTGTTCTGTTCCATAGGTCTCCTTACTAATTCCTAATCTCTTTATTAGTTCCTAAGATCTCCTTTCTAATTCCTAGGAATGTTTTAATAATTGTGGGGTTTATGGTATATTTTATTATATGGTAGATCAAATAAATGTCCCTTCATTATTCCATTTTTAAAGAATATTCTTGGCTTCCTCGAGATGAATGTTAGAATGATTTTGCAAAGTTTCAAAAATATCTGCTGGGTTTTTTTATTAGAATTTCATTAAACCCATAAATTAGTTTAGGAAGGATAATTGATTTTCCTATCCAGGATCATGGTAGGTCTTTTCCTTTATTCAATTTAAAAATATTTCTCTGTAAACTATAATATTCTATATAAGGGTCCAATATATTTTATATTTAATTATAGATTTTATAGATTTTCTTTGAGGTATATGGGGTAGGTTGTGGGGGGAGAATATTAGCCTTACTTTGAATGTTCCTAACTCTAGTTTTCCCACTCTTTTTATATTGCTACTTTTAATAATGGAAAGTTACTTAAGGACTTAATTATCAACCTATAGCAGAACAAACTATCCAATACATATGAGGATCTCCAGATTATAGTATCATGAAGAACAAGTTTCCAACTTTTAAGACACCAAATTAGATGAGTTCTTATTTTTTAATTTTTTAATTTTTTTTTTTGAGAGAGAGAGAGAGAGAGAGAGAGAGAGAGAGAGAGAGAAACAGAGTGCAAGCAGGTGAGGGGGAGAGAGAGAGGGAGACACAGAATCTGAAGCAGGCTCCAGGCTCTGAGCTGTCAGCACAGAGCCCAATGTGGGCTCGAACTCCAGAGCCAGGAGATCAAGCCTTGAGGCAAAGTTGGACACTTAACCCACTGATCCACCCAGGCACCCCAGGTGTCTTCTTAATTGCCTACCCAGCCCAGACCCTTTTAGCCAAGCAGGGCATTGATGATTTTTTTTTCCTCCTAATTTTCTTGTGAATGCATAGCTGTTATCATCAATGACTATTTGCTTCCAGTTCTTTGAGGCATATTCAAGAGAATTGGAATACATTCACCAACATCAGCATCAAAAGTCTGTTCCTGGGTTGCCCATCAACTTCTTGAGTGCTCCATCAGTGTTACTCAATGGGTCTTTTTTCATTCTTACATTCCAAGCCTCCCATCTCTCTGCAGTCATCTCCTTCCTGTTTGTCCACAGCAGTACCTTTCACATTTACCATAGCCAGAGTGATCTTCCTGAAACTCAAATCTGATCCTGATACTCCCTTATTTGTTTAGACACAGGATAAATCCAACAAATATACGTGAAGAAAGAGCCAGCTGTATTTTGCAATGTTATGTTGGGTACTAGTCCTACAAAGATAAATAGGAGCTGGACTTGTACCTAGTTGTTAAGGGGGAGAGACCAGACTTGTTAGCATCATAGGCTAGCAGCTAGTGACCTGACCAGCCTGACTTCCTGTCATTCCCTTACCTGTCCTCTAACATCCAGTCATGTTGGACTCCTGAGAACACACCACCTTGCTTCTACCTTGCTTTGCTCAGGCTGTTCTTATGTCTGGCCTGCTCTTCATGGCAAAATCCTACCCTTCTTTCAATGCTATATTCAGTATCATGTGCAGCGTAAAGCTTTTCTCAATGTTTATCTCTCTTATAACACCACAGAAGGTAGAGCTAACTGCTCCCTTGACTTGCTGTCCCATAGCAGTTAGTTTGTACGAGTAGTACAGCAACAGAAACTCTGATAGCTGATGGTCTCTGGGTCTTTCTTCTTAGCTTCAGGGTGGTTGTAGTATGGCAGAGGCCCCTGGTCAGTCACTTTTGATACCTGCTTCATCATATTCTCTTACAAATAGGCATGAAATGGTCAAGTCTGAGAGGAAGCCAACAAGCAAAGAAGGTAAATTGCTAGTGTTTTCTCAAGGCAAGAATTCAACTTATTATTATTATTATTTTTTTTTTTTTGCATCTTAGAGTTCTACTGTACTTCTTGGCCTCAGTGAAAACAGCTTGGAGGCAGCATAGAATCCTTGAAAGAGGGTAGGGTTTGGAGTCAGAGAACCTGGGTTTAGTCCACACTAGCTCTATGAATTTGAGCAAGTCACATAACCTCTACCAGATTCAGTCTTCTGGACCATAAATCAGAAATATTCACTACATACCAGGTGGTTTTGAGGCTATGTGAAATTATATCTACAAGAAGCTAAAAAACATCTTATAGTGATAAATCACTATAAATGTTAGTGTTATTTTCATTGTGGTTATTTTATATGTAAATTAAGACAATTTTACATAAAATATTTCTATTTTCAAAATTTTCCAGCTTGTATTTATTGCTTTGCTTCGTCATGCCCTGCTTCCCAAGAAGTGCTACTAAGAGGGGTGGCATAACTCCATAAAAATGGGCTGTTTGGGATGTCTGGAGACACTATTTCTCCAGCCAGGAGAGAAGTTAGTAATTTGTATAATGGAATCAATAATAACTATCTTACCAAGCAAAAGAGTTTTGAGAATTATAAGAAATAACACATGTGAATGGCTGGTACTAAGTAGGTACTCATTCCCTTCAATCTCCATTTACATTTTGGTCTTACCCATCAAACCAATTCCATTCCTTGATCACGCCTATGTTCCATTTCCCATATTCTTGCTCCTGGACTACTAAATGGTACTGGAGAAAACAGACAAAGCCATACAGACAAGAACCAAGCTGCCACCTCCTCCCCTTCCCCTCCTCTCCCATACTCTTTCTCCTATCGACCCCATCTCCCTCTCCTTCTTTGTCATCTTTTATAAAGTTCACTGCAATGCTAAACAGCAGTACTGGCATCCTCTCTCTCTCTCTCTTTCAGTCCTGCAAAGATTAAGTACTCTTCCACCATCATGACAAAGCAGAGCCTCTGTTTGGGCAGCACATGGCAACCCCTTTGCCATGTGTCTCCCTGCCAGATTGTGCTGGGATAGGGTGGGATAGGACCTTCTCGACAAAACACTGTCTCCCTTCTTAGCGAAAGAGTTCTTTGGTTATGATGTATTGATGGAAAAGTGCTTCTGTCTGAAGAAGAGTTCCCCTCCAGGGTCTCAGGGTTGAAAGGAATATCTTGAAGAACTGAGAAACTCCTTTTGATTTCCTGTATCTGGGTGTAACTGTCTCAAATAGTAACAATGGCTTTGACAGCAGATGGCCTCAGAACATGTGGATGGAGATAATGGAGAAAAGTAGGTAGTTGGGTCATTCACAGACTTGAAGTTTATGACACCTTGTGGCATCTGTGGGGCCTTGTATGCTTCTTCCCAGTTCTTTGGTTTTGGTAGAAGCATAGAAGGCTGGGGGATTAATAAAATAAGGCTTTGCTGTGTGTTTTGTGAGGAAACAGATCTGGTTTCCCTTTTGAGCTGAGCAAATGTCAGATGACACTCAGTCCTCTACTTCACTGCTTCAGAAATAGTTAGATGTCTCTGTGTTATATGTAAGTGATGAATCACTAAATTCTACTCCTGAAACTAACATAACGCTGTTTGTTAACTAACTAGAATTTAAATAAAAACTTGAAACACTAAAAAGAAAAAGATTTCTCTGTGTGGTATTCAGTTTTCTACACTCAGACAGGCATGGCAGCCATCCCTGGGGTGTATTTGATAGTGCTTTATACTTACATAACTAAATTGGGTTTTGCCATGCTCTCTTCAGAAGGAGAGGACTAAGGTTTTTCAAAGGCATCTATCTATTGTGGTATCATTCTGGGAAATGTTACTGTTTATTTGTTTCCTAGCAGATTTCAGAGTTTTCAGAGAATAGAAAATGGGAGAGAGAAATTTTGTTCATGGGGAAAGTGATGTGGAAGCCATCAGGCAAGGGCTTGGGAAGACAAACATAGAGAGCATGCTGTACTGGGGTCTTGATTTCTAGATGGTAAAGGACATGTGGAGAGGTGAAAGTACCCTTACCTTCACTTTCTGTATACTTTAACTTGCAGTAACTCCAGATAGGCCATAATTGTGGCTGTGGACTCTCAGCCCAAAGATTGGCCTGATCTATGTCTCAGCTTATTTTATTTGTTCTTTCTGTTCCTTATAGATTCATGAAGGTGGCAGGAAGCACAGTGGATGCAGTTACCTGGCAACAGTAGGTATTCATCATTTTTGCTTTTACTTATTATCAGCTACTGTGAAATGAGAGATAATAAGTTGTTATGAAGTTTATACCTGACATCTAATAAGCCACTCTCTATCCTCCAAGAGAAAAAGTTAAAACTAACTCCAAAGCTGTTCTTATGATGCATACTATCTCATGGGAATATAATTTTGTTTTGTTGTTGCAAATTTTTTTAAAAAAACACTAAAAGCTCAGCTATTATGGACACTTTTAAATTAATATGTCATCAGTGAACAGGTAATGGGAATCTGAGCATGCCACCACTCATCTGAGCTTTTCCTTGAGAATAAATTTCCTTAAGAGAGGAAGTAGTGTTCAATAGTCAACATATCATGTGAAAAATAGCAACACTTCATTATGGTAATGGCAGTGGTCTTAAATAGTGCCTAGAGTGTTACTAACATGAAGCAATTTTAAAAAATGGAATATGAAGGGAATGAAGCAGCCTCAAGAGAAGATAAACCCTAGTATTCCAGGAAGAAGCTTACAGTGGGAAAGACCTGTTACCTTAAGGGTATCTTGATTTGTAAAGATAATTATCAGATACATAAATTAATTTTAAGTTTCCTTATGGTATTTGTGCTGGCATGTCAGTATCTCACAATGTCTCACCAATTTTTTACTGGAATCTTGCCCTTCCTTTTTGTAAGAAATCTATCCCACAGCATCTTCCAGGTCATCTCTCATCTAATGTAGTCCCCACGGCTCAGACATATGCTCCTATTCTGGGCCCTCATAGCTGTCAACTATGACCACCTTTCTCAGTGACTCTAAACCTGCCTGCCTAACACATTTACTTCCTCTGTTTTAAGTGGTCACAGTATCCTTTGGGATGCATGACAGTTGTGAAAGCAAGAACAGTGGATGAAATCTTCATTAATTATCCCAAAAGGATTTTTGCTGTTAGCAATCAATAACTTCAATCATAATGGAAAATATTTTATTAGCCATTTGTACTTAGTTTCTCTAAACATCAAGTTCTAAAGGTTTCCAGAAATTTTTATCCTCCTTCAGTTTGTTTTGTGAGTCATGGATTGAGTAGGTCTAAGGCTCTTGTCTTCCCCATGTTTAAAACCCCTCAGTGGCTTCCCTTTGCACTTAGACAAAAGGCCAAACTCTCTACTCTGTCCTATTAGGAAGGTGCCTTGTGTTTGACCTCTGCTGCTTCTAGTAGTTTGACCTCTAGTACCACCCTAACCTTACTCATTCTGTCCCAACACCATAATGGTCTTTCATTTTTTAGAAGGTTCACATGCATGTCTTCCTCAGGATCTTTGTATGTGCTATTGTCTCTGCCTAGAATGCTGTTGTCCTATTTGTTTATGTGGCTAGCTCCTTCTCATCTCTAAATACTCAACTGACATGTTATCTTCTTTGAGAGGCCTTCCCTGATGATCCTATCTGAAATGGATTGTGTTTAATTTTCTTTCTTAGCTCTTTTTTTCCCATGGTACTTTATACAACTTATATTTTTCTCTTAATTTATTATTGTAATTTGTGTGTTTTTCTGTTCCACCAGAATATCATTTAGTTCCAACATGCTTATTTAGTCTATTGTTTATTGGGCCTTTACTGAGAGAAGATAGCAATAGTGATGATCATAATGTGGCAGGAACTGTTGTAAACCTTTTATGCCTTACCATAACTGATCTTCACAGCAACCAAATGAGTTTGGGGATACTTTTATCTCTTACATAACTTAAAGGAAGTTGTAGAAAATCCAAACATTACACAGTAAATGGCAGATTGTGAACTTAAAGTTGAGTCTGTCTCACTCCAAGGGCTATTCTCTTAACTGTTACTACTTTGATTATACAACAATGCTTTTTTTACTGAAAACATTACATTCTACTGGGCAATTCAAATTCTCTTCACTGTCTTTAATCAAAGGCTATCTGGATAATGTAGTGTAAAGGCTGGAGCTTGAAGAATTTGCAGTGTTTATAAGGAGAAATTAAGAGATCAGTGTATGAAAACTATTGGGTAAGAATGTAAGGCTTACTCAGTTACTATGACTGACAAGGAGGATTGGAAAAAGTTTTTCTTCCATATTCAAACACTTTCCATAGCACAAATGGAATGAAGTGAGCACAGTATTTTGTTTATAGTGGAGAAATAAAATTTTTATAAATATATTTTGTTTATTAGCTATTTTTAAAATATTGGCCACTTCTCAAGATAAATGTCATGTGTTTGCAACTACTCTAAAAATACCCCCCAAAGCAGGCAAGGGGTTGTGTTTCTTTTGGCTCCAGGACCAGCACTCATCTGGGGACAACCAGTAGCACCTGGAATCCACCATTTATCCCTTCCAGCCATAGTTTTCAATCAAGACTTGGAGTAGTCATGGAACAATTCCAGGAAATCCTGGCCAGAAGAATTCAATGAAAATTAAAGCCAAATACCATGTTTCTCTAACCCTGAGAAATGTCGAGGTGAATTTCTTAATAATGTAAAGAAATCAAGAGTC